TTCAACTCCCAGGACTCTCAGCAAAGCTGGCCGAGGAATTCTGGGAGTTGAAGTCCACAAGTCTTAAAGGGGCCCCGGTTGGAGAGCCCCGCTCTCAGGAGCGGCCCCAGAACAGGAAAAGGCCCAAACGCTTCTGTGGTTAATTCCCAAACTGGGTGGCCTGGACTGGGATTGGAGGCTTTCCCAAACTCAAACTGCCCAGCATTTCTAGCCTCTTTGGGGAATGGAAGGAATCCCGGCTGCAGCGCAGACTTTTCCCGCCGTCCGGTCCTGAAGGCGAGACTGGCTGCTCCTCTCGTGCGAAGGGCAGGGAGGCAGCCGGGTCCACGGGCGGCCAGGGCTGAAATGCCAATCCATGGCGGGGGCAGCAGCTGCCGTCTCCAAAGCCTTACTGGGCATCTGCCAGCCTGAATGCCGAAGGGCAGCCTCGCCCTCCAGGACAGCTGCCCGCTCGGCCCTCTCTAGCCCAATGGAGAGGCAGCCTTTACAACAAGGCGGTCCTTGCAAGGCCGCGTAGCTGCACGGAAAGGCCAGGCCAGGCCAGATGGGTGGAAGGCCCTCTCCAGGGCACTGGGCACTCCAGGAGCCCCAGGAGGGGAGGGGATGGTTCGGCAGGGACTTGGAGGCAGGACCGGAAGCCGATTCCTCTGGCCCTCCGGAGGACTCTCCCCCTCGTCGGAGCTCAGGGGGGCTCTGGAGGGGGCCCCCATCTGTCGGGGCAGCTTCCTGCTCTGCGGGGGAGGGGGAGATCAGATCCTCTCCAAAGTCCCTTCCCCCCATTACATTAAATCCGAGGGGTCTCTGCAGACAGCCCCCCCTCCCCCCCTCCTCAGCAGCAATCGGGGGGGGGGGGCATGACTCACGGGCGTGGAAGGGAGTCCGGTCTGGCAGGGAGCGCGTCTTCCTCCGGACTGGGAGCGATTTCTCCATCTCCTCCTTCAGGATGAGCCTGCCCAGGTTGGAGGCCACCTACGGGGGGGTGAGAAGGACGAGGGCTGGAAGGAGCCCGCGACTGACCCCCCCCGCCCCCCCCGCCCCCCCCAGCGCTTCCCGCTACCTTGCTCAGCTCTTGTTCCTGCAGCTCCCGGAGATTTCGCATTTCCTCCGCATCCTCATCCAGCTCCTCGCCCCTCTTGGCCGCCTTTTGCCTCCGCCACTCGGTCTCTGGGAGGGGCAACCAGGGCTTACAAACTCGGGGTGGGGCTGGGGGGCTGGGGGGGTGTCCCCCTCCACAAAAGGCTGGGAGCTAAAGGCTTCTGCCCTGCGATACGGGGAGGTCCCCCAATGAGCAGGGGTCCTTCGGGGGGGATCCGCGTTCCAAAGGAGGCTCGGTCTGGAACTGGGGCCCTTGTGCCTCCCCCCACCCTGGAGCAACCCTGGGGGCTTCAGAGCCTCTTCCGGGTTTGGGGAGTCCCATCGGGAGAAGGCGGAAGAAGCCTCCTGCCTGAGCTGGGGGGGGCACTCTGTTAAGGGGGGGCAGAGTGGGCGCAGGTGGGGGGCTCCCTCCAGATGGCGTCCTGCCCTCCCCCGCCCTTTCCCGGGTGGCCCTCTGGTATCCCCCAGGGCGGCTCTTCCGTCCCCCCCGTCCCCCCCCCCGCTTGCCTGCCTTCCCTAAGGGCCGCGAGGGAAGCCAGCAGCGGAGGAGGAGGAGGAGGAGGGGGAGGGGGGGAAGGGTCCCCGGAGCCTCCCGAGCGCTTGTCCGTTGCTCGGAGCAGCCGCGGACCGGAGGGCTGGGCGGAGGCACCTACCCACGACGGCCAGGGAGGGCGGGCAGGGCCAGTAGTCCGTCTCAATCTTGGCTGGCTGGCTGGGGTCCGGCGGCTGAGCCGCAGGGAACTTGGAGGATTCAATGATCAGGCCCTCCATCAGCCGCTTGCTCTCGGGGGTCGGGGCCGGCCCAGACTCTGGAAGAGGCCAACAGCCGTGAGGGCTGGACCAGGCTGCTCCCCGCCCCCCGCCCCAGCCCCCTCCCCCCAGGAGCGGCCCCTACCCCTCTGCTTGTAGATGGGCGGCTTCTTGTAGATGTTCAGCTCCGTGGTGTTGCTCTCTGGGGAAGGAAGGGAGGCAGTTCAGGGCCTCCGTGGCAGGAAGGCGCCCAGGGACAGCCGGCTCCCCCTCCCGTGGGCCTCCCTCCCCCCCCTCGACTGTGGCCCTGGTGACCAAGGCCAAGGAAGCTTTGCGGGAATAAAACCAACAGCCTCCGGTGCGTGATGGGCCACTTGCCGACCCCTGGAGGAGGAACACCCGAAGGCTGCGGGAGGGGGAGGGGGCGACTGGACTCAGGGACGGCCCTTGGGCCCCTTCAGGCTTTGGGGTGATGCATCTCTGGACCCCTCTGCAGCTCCAGGTGAGCAAAGGCCACTGAGCTCTTGGACCGGAGCGGGGAAGGTGCGCCCCAGAAGCCCGGGCAGCCGGGAGCGGGAGGGCCCCGCAGGAGGCCGTACCGGGATGATGGAAGTGCTGGAGTCCAGAGCGGTTCCTGCTGCCGGCCCGGCGCCCGGAGGCCTTCCCAACGCTTCCTGGGGATTTGGCCTCTGCCCACTCGTGGCTGACCTGAAAGCAGGGAGCGCATCGATGGAGGGGCCCCAAGGAGGAGGCCCTGGGCCCCCTCGGCCATCCCCCCTCCCGAGAGGAGCAGCTCCCTCCGAAGCTCCCTCACCAGGGGCCAACCTAAGCTGAGCCCCCCCCAAAGGTCCCCCAACTTCCTGCCCGCCCATCCGCCCCTCGTGGGAGCACTTACTTCTGGCGACGGGGGAGGAGAGAGAGACGTGGGCGAGAGCGAGGGCTGAAAGAGAAGCGCCAGGAGAGGCGGGCGTTACTCCTTACGCCGCCCACGGCCCCTCGCAACTGCCCCTCCCCTGCCAAGCGGCTGCTGCGGGCCCTGCGGGAAACCCGCTTGCACGTTTGGATAGCCCTCCTCCACTCCCACGGCCATGTCTGACTGGGGGGCCATGGCGGGGGAGGGCCTCAGCCCCCCCAAAAGTGCACAGCCCCCCCCCCAGGGCATCCACTTGCAGTGCCGGCCTCACCTCCCGGCTCCTCGGCCGTTCCAGGTGGTCGAGGAGGGAGTAGGTGAAGTGGGGCTCGTAGATCATCAGGTCAGGCCGCTCGATGTCCAGGATCGCCTTGTCCCTGGGGATGGCGGCCAGGTCCTTGTAGCCAAGGACTTCGTTGTCCATCTTGGCCTGGGGAGAGGAGAGGGGAGGCCGGGGGGGGGCAGGGGGGCTGATCGATGAAGGCGGCACAGAGAGAAAAGGGGCTTCCACAAGGCCGCCCCGTTCTTCCAGGCCTGGATTGGGACCCTTCTCCCAGGGGAGGAGCTGCACCAGCCGGCACCAAGGTTGGGTAGCGTGCGCACACACACACACAGAGTGTGGGTTCCCTCCAGCTCAGTTTTGTGCACCTCCGTACTTCGATGCCACAAGATCCGGTTCGGTTAAGTGCTTCAAGTGAAGCAGGGAACCGAGTTCGAGACCGGCCGCAGGCACAAAGCCAGCCCTGCAAGGGGACCCCAACCTTTCACAGGGACCCCAGGTTTCCTCCTAGAGAGCCAGATGGATCTGTCAGAGGCTGAAGCCCCCGGACCGCCCCCTATCCTAGTGCTGAGGAGCCCCACCTCAACTATGGGGGGTTCTGGTTTCCTTGGTCCGAAGGTCCCCGTGTCTCCTCTGTCCCCCCAGTGCTCTCCTGCCCCTCCCTCAGAGCCCCCGTATCTGGGGGGGGGGGTGAGAGGTGGACGGGGCAACCCCGTTTTTGCCCATCGCTGCTCGCCCCGCCTCTTCCTGGCTCAGGGCCAAGGAAGCTTTGCTCACCCCTCCCCCTATGAGCCGCACTCTCCCCTCAAACTCTGGGGGGGGGAGGGCACTTTCTGCACCCCCCCCTTTCGCCCTCTGCTCTCCTCCTCCTGCTGTTCAGCCGGCCGTGGTTTGCTCAAAGCGGGGAGGGTGGAGGCTTCAGCCGGCTCTCACCGTGATGCTGGAGGGAGATCCGGGGGCCCCAGAGCCCCAAGACGAGACGCCGGTGCTCCTGGGGGAGGCCAGGTGCTGCGAGGAGAAAGGAGGAGGCCCGTCAGGGAGGCTGAAGCCGGCCTCTGGCTGCCTGGGCTCCTCTTGGGTCAGCTTGCAAGGTCAGCCCGGCACCCCCAACACTCCGGCTGCTCCTTCGACCGACCGCCGGAGGGCGGAAGGCAACCCGGAGCCTGTCAGGATCGAACTCCTGGCAGTGGGCAGAGTGAGCCTGCAATGCTGCCTTCTGAGCCACCAGGGGTCCGAGAGGCAGTGGGGGCTGATCCACTGGCAGGTGCAGAAGAGACGCTCAACTCCGGCCTGGCCAAGCGGGCTGGGCAGCGGCCTCTCCTGCTCCTTTGGGAGGGCCGAGGGAGGCCGGGACACCCGGAAGTGCAGCTGTCGGGCCAGGGGAAAGCAGCCATGTGCCCCCCCCCCCCCAAGAGCAGGAAGGCCCAAAGGGCTGGGGGCTCTTTGACAGCGGTGGCCGGGGGGCCTGTGCCAACTGGGCCTTCTCTGCAGGGACCCCTTTTCCTTTGGCGCTGAGCTGTGGGGAGATGATGGCAATCCTGCCACAGCCACCGGCTGCTGCTGCTGCTTCCCGGCTTCCTGGGGGCCCCCCGTGCTCCGAGGCAGCCCCAAAGGAGAAGGTCTGCAGCCCTTCCAGGCCCCTGGGAGGCTTTCGGGCGCTTCGTGACCCAAGGGACCTCGTCAGGGGTAGAAGGGGGGGGGCTTTGCACGGAAACCCCCAGGCTGAGAGAGCCCCAGGAAAGGGGGACCAGCCACTTTCCCAAATCCACTGAACAAACAAGCCACGAGAAGTTACCTTCTGCAACTTTTCCATTCAGGCTCCACGTTGGCAGCCGCAGCTGGATCACCCAACAAGCCCTGAGAGGGAAGAGAGGAGACAGGGAGGTTAGCAGGCGTGTGTGTGAGTGTGTGAGTGTGTAGATCCGGAAAGGACCTTGAACCCGGGGGTGGGGGCTGGAATCCCAGGGAGGGGGAGGCATTTTCCCAGGTGTGCAATGGAAGAGCAGCACCTTCGCAAGGAGCCTCCGTGTGGGGAGGGGGGAACCCCCCCCATCCAGGTTCTGAACCAGAGCCCGCTCCTCTCGGGCTCACCTCACTCGCCTGGGGTCAAGCGACAAGCTCGACCCCTTCCAAGCCTTCCCTGCAGAGCCACATCAAAGCGAGTAAGAAAACCAGGCAGAAGCACTTTTGCCCAGCGCCCTTGAAGGGACCCTCCCCCCAACACCCCCCCACCTCAGTCCCTGGTGATTCTGCAGACAGAATGTGACCTGGGAAGGCGCCGAGACGTCAGTGGTCGGCCAGGGAAATGTCCTCCCCTCCAGCCTGACCCAGGAGCCCAAAGGCCTTGGGGATGCCCACCCAATGGGGGTGCCCAGGGTCTCTTTCCCACTGACCCTCCCTGGAGGGCAGCCCCTCAGCTGGGCCCCCGAGGCTTGTGCGGGGCGGGTGCGAGTGGGCCTGAGCTGACCGGTGGCTGGGCAGGCGGGTGAGGGGGGCAGCGGTGGGGCCCTCCCAGGCTTAAGAAGGGAAGAGCACTGCTGGGGGGGAAGGGAAGCCGGCAGATCCTGTACATCCGCCTGTGGGAAGGGCAGAGATTCCCTTCTGGGGGGGGGCGGGGGGGAATGTTTCCCACGGCTGGGCTGCCACTCAGCACAGGAGCCAGAGCTGAGCCCAGCTGAGTGGCCACGGCCGGCAGTGCCCACGCCTCAGCCTGGCAGTCAGGCAGCGGCTGCCTTCTGCTCTCACCCCGCTGGGAGCTCGGCAGCACCCCCCCCCCCAACACACGCCCCCCCCCCCCGGCCCTGCCCGTTGATAGGCTGGGCTGCTTGGTTCCTGCTCCCAAGGGTTAAGTGCCTTTTGCGGGAAGTGGCGCCTGACAGGAAGGGCTCCCGGGACAGCCCTGGCAACGGAGCAGCTGTGCCTCCTGCGAAGGGACAGCACTGCGGCAAGCGGCCCCGAGGAGGAGGAGGAGGAGGCGGCGGCAGCACTGTGGCCACGGCCACCAACAGCTCCCGACTTTCTCCCCTTCTGCTCCAGGGCAGAGCGATGGGAGTCTCCCCCGGGGAACCGGGCCCCCAGCTTTGCCCCCGAGCAGCAGTTCTTGGGTTCTTTCTGCCCCCCTCTCTGCCCCCCCTAAATCTGGTTGCTTCCCCCAAGTGAAATGCCCAGGGACAACCGCTGACCCTCCTCCCCGGGTGCCGCCTGCCTGATGCCGGCTTGATGGCTGGAGCAGAGCCCCCCCCCCCCCCCCCCCCGCCGCCGCCCCCGGCGCCGCGGGAAAACAACCCACGGGCGGGCGCTGTGCGGGGCTCCCTCCGCCCCCCCACCCGGGGGGGCCGCGGGGGGGGGAGAGG